AATACTATAAAATGAATGTTGAAATATTCCAAAGATTTGATCAGGACCACTTTAAAATAATGGTCCGTTAGTTCACCACTATCTTGCTTGGTTCAGGACTTGTGGAGTTGCACATTGATGGATTTGCTCTTCAGTGTTTGGACTCTTTGCAGTGAAAATTAAACCAAATTGAACTGAACTAAACTGAACTTCCACTCTGAAAACTGGACTGACACAGTTTCAATTTACTAGAACTTCTGTTGAGCTGTTTTGACACAATCTACATTGTAAAAGCACTATAGAATTAAACATGAATTGAATTGGATTCATGTTTACTAATGCATTTACTAACATGAACAAATAATTAGTAATACATTTGTTATGGTATTTATTCATCTTTGTTAACGTGAGGTAATGTTATTTAAGTTTAATAAGATTAGTTCTTATAGTTCATGTACTCGGTGCATTATTAGTATTAGTTCATGTTGAAATATGGGATTTTTTAAAACAATTTTAGACACTGGTTTCTTGCCAGTTTGAGACATCCATTAGTTTTAGTGTCTATTTGCCTTTCATTTGGTTTCTTTGTTCTCCTTTGTTAGCTTCGATCGTTTATGTGTCTGTCATTTGAGGTGTGAAACGCATAATCTTTAGTTATCTTTTTGACATGATTGCATTTCTTTCTAATGGGAATGTGGATTCATATTATTTTTCTCTGATGCTGATTGTTTCAGAAAAGAACCGACCGTGGTGTTACTGTACATCACATGTTTTATTATCTACTCATGTTATTATCAACCACAGTCAACAAATCACATTGGAATGACACCGTTCATCAATCATACATATAATGTTTGATTTATATGCAGTCCTTTCACAGATATGTCTTTTGGCAGATGCAAATGAAACACAGTTTGTTTCATTCAATGAGTCGCTGTTGGCCACAAAAGGCAAATAATCTTGACACATTTTTAGAGGTGCTACTTTGTGTCTCAGGTTTCACTCTTCTGGTAGAAAAGACGAGTCAGACGTCTTTAAATTGAACCACAGAAGCCTCGGCGTGACCTATTTCACATGTCTTGGCTCTCTAGACATATGTTAATCGTTAAAAATGGCTGGCTGTGTTTGGGTGTTCTTTGGATCTGCTTGAATTTGAAAACTGATAAAACTTAAAGATATAGTCAAAACCTAATGAATAAATAAATCAATTATTTGTTCTGCTACATTAAACCAACTAAATGTATTGCATTTATAGCCTCTTTCACACAGTGAGACCAGCAAATATCAGGAACATTTCAGGAACGACTTTACCAGTAGATTCAAAAAAGTGCTGTTCACAAAGGCAAGGACGTTCCGGATTTTTCCCGGAAATGACCATTCATACATCCATCCCAAAATACTGTCAAATTCTGACATCATTAACCAGTAATGGCCCTTAAACGACTGCGCTTGTATTTGTAAACATAATAGGGGTCGGGCTTTTGTTGATAAATTCACTTTGATTGGAAGCTTTAGCATTCATGTAGCAGCTTTTTTTCCCAGAGACATTCAAAGGCAGAATCTTTAACCGCAGCTAAATGTTTACACATATGACTACATTACAAATTCTGTGGATGGAAAAGTGTTGTGAACAACTTTGATGTAAACATATGGAGGAACACTTTCACATGTCGAGATGTGCATTTGTTTGTGTGCTAGCACTCACCGTAGCACTTTTTCAAGTGTATGAGTGCCACGCAGCTGAACGAAGGGCTTGCAGGTAAACTCACAGCAGTTTATTGATAAGCATTTTATTGATAATGTTTTAGACAGTTAGCATTAATAATAAACATATAACTGCTATCTGATCAGCAACTGGCAGCTAAATGTGTCTGGAAATGTATCCAAAGGTTTTAATTTTCATAAATAGCGTGGATGTGAATGCGTCTGTATGTTCTGATTGGCTGGAGTAGACGTCTCATGTCAGAGCGTGAACCTGCTCTTTCTGGCAATTTTCATCTATAATGTTCGATAATGTTACAACTTCTCTTTCCGGGAAGGTCTGTATGTGTGAAAGGGGCTCATATCCTTTTGATAATAAACCATGTGAAGAATCATTCTCTATGTAATGTATTTTATATTCGCAAAGACAGCGCCCTCTAGTGGACTTGTCATAGAAACATGCAACAAAACCAAACCCGGAGGAACGTATTTTACATTTCTCAAAAATGTAGGCCGACCCACGTATTTCCAGTTAGCTTGGGTTGAGAAGTTCAGTCTAAATTAGGTTTAAACAAGCCTCCTGTGATTCAGCTTCCCATAATTATTGCCCTCACTGTAAAAAATGCAGGGTTCCACACAATTCGTTCATGTTGTCTTGACACAAATCGATTGAGTCAACTTTTTTTATTTTTCAAATTTAGGTAGATTGATCTAGGGTTGGGCGATAAAATCGATATCTAGATATTTATTGAGCGAACACCATTGTCAATAATGGAAAAAAAAGTTTGGTATGAAGTTTTGGAATGAAGCGCTATAGTTT